GAGAGATAATGAATAAGTGCAACATCCCTCAACACACTTGCGAAGTATAGGTTATGATAAGTTTATTAGTACGTATTTACAAAATTGAATTTAATTTTGTAAAGACCAATTTAATTTTGTAAATATACGTACTAATAAATTGGTAAGGTGCGGCGCGGCCGCGCGACTTAATATAGGTTAATGTTTATTAGTACGTATAAATTAACAAAATTATATAGGTCAGGCGCGGTTCGGCCGTGCGACCAATTTTATTTTTGAATACGTACTAACCCATATATATAGCTATATATCAAGGTCATGATCATGCAAGGGAAAAAATAATATATAGCACTTTACGTTTTCCATTTATCTCTTCTCATTGAGTAGGAACGTGAGTCAGAATTGAGATATTTCATATGCTTTACGAACAAATTAATTCATAAATAAAAAAATAAATAAATGTAGCCAAACAACGTGCAGCTTTAAAATTGATATCAAAATTGGAGGTCAAATTATACATATCCTCTAATTATATACTTCCAGAACTAAAATAGATAAAATAAATGCTTGAAATGTAAGAACTGATATAATATTATGCTGATAATGAATGTACGTTATTGGCAGTTTCGCATTAAAGGTCAAGGACCATGGTGGTGGTGGTGGCGATGGTGGTTTTTATCCCGGATCACGGCAGTAAGCCACATTTAATTTAGATCTTACAGAACATAGTTCAGCCACCACGTCATTCCTGGGCAGAGTGTCATGGAGTTTACCGGTACTAGGTGCCTTCACATTAGGCAGAAACTGAAAGTTCTGTACAGACCAGAGCAGGAGGTTCTAAGGATTGCATGAGCCGGACTAACGAAAGCGACTTGCATCGCCTGAGAATAGAACCGGATAGTCATGTCAAGGATCATATTCTAATCGCCTTATAATAAGCAGACTTTGTCGTAACTCAGCAGTGCAATAATTTAACACTTTTGCTTTGCTTTTTTAACGCCTCAAATGTTAAATCTGTGTTTAGGGAAAAGTTATTTTTAAGGGTTATGATTAAATATTTATCATTTACTTTTTCATCTACCACGTGTACGTACATGACTTCACCAAAAAAACGATCGCTATTAAACTGTGGAAAATTCTCCAACAGAGCCATGTTGCCAAAATCATATCATATTTCCTTTGCGACAGATTCAGTCTAAATATGCAAGGGCGAGAATCACGCCGTTCGTTACCCAGAGAAAAAATGGAAAAAACCTAATTTTTGACTGCTTCCGCCATCTTGTTTGTTTGGGTAACGAACGGCGTGATTCTCCCCCGTGATATGGTATTGTTTTTGTTTTAAGCGCCAGATTCCGCCCTATCTACTTGGTGCTTGCATTTATTGCACCGTGAAAGAATTTTTACGGGGAACGATAAAGTATTTCTTTCTATATATTCTTTAAAAAAACAATACCCCTTTCAAAAACCAAGAAGGAACGGAAAAGCATGACAAGGCGACATTCATATACAAATGCCCCCGGCACAACCAGCCACGCTCGCAGTTTATTCAGAAGGCACCGAACGAAAACATGTCAAATGACACAAGAACGGAAACCAGTTTTAGCAAATTTGTTACTGACAAGATTCAAAACCGGTTAAATAATAATTATGTAAAGTACAAACATCAAAGGCTTATCAACCTTACAAATTATATATATTCAGCGTTCAAAGAAATGACATATTATATTAATATTAAATATCAAATTTTCTGTAATACGTACATTCATCTGTACAGGGGAGATAACCGATACAGAAAAACACAAAGTTAACGTAATGGTTATCCTATCGTTGGCTATGCTGTTTTTTATTCGCTGAAATGAGATATTGCATTTAGTAACATTATAAGCTTTTATCATTTTCAGTATCAGAGGTGTTTACAATAATAAATTTTATTAGCATATTTCATTAATATAATTTTATATGATAAATACATTGATATACATTTATTTATTCAACGTATATTCAGTACGTATATAAACAAGAAGTGAAGCGTGACAAGTGCTTAAAGATTAGAACAAAAGAATATGTATATGTTTGTGAGCAGGAATGACTTTAGGATAATTATGTCAATTGATTTTCGAAATATGTAATTTACTTATACAGATATATGGTGAGGATTATGTTCTATTCAGGTTTCATAGGTCAACAAAAGAAAGTGTTCTGTGTGATAGAAAGATATATGAACCGCGTCACGACAAAACCAACGTTATGCGTTTGCGACCAGCATGGATCTAGACCAGCCTGCGCATCCGCGCAGTATGATCAGGATCCATGCTGTTCGCTTACAAACCCTATTACAAGAAAACTGATAGCGAACAACATGGATCCTGATCAGACTGCGCGGATGCGCAGGATGGTCTGGATCCATGCTGGTCGCAAACGCATAATGTTGGTTTTGTCGTGAACATATTTTAAGCTACATGGAAGTAAGTCCACATTTCATACCTTTCACTGGACGTTAAATGTAAAGATACATTCAAGGTGAATTGTACTCTTCCGTCTAGAATAAAGATAAGATAAAACAGACAAAAACCAAGCACTGCTGCTTAATTGAGAACTTATTATAATAAAATAACGAAATATAGTAAATTAATGGTTTGTTTTATTTAAAAAGAAAACGCATTTTTAAGGTATTGTATGAATGCTACAGTGACAATTTAGGGATACATAAGTTCTGATAACATACATATATACTACTTTTGGAATAGGTTCGTCAAAGTTAATGAAAGAAATAAAGCATAAAGAATGAAATTAAACACAATTATAATAGAAATTCATTTAAATGCATAGAATTCAACAGTACATAAATTAAGCGATACAAATAGTTATTATTTCAAGTAAATGAATAAAACGAAAAGAATCTTACCACAGCGTCTCAATTTATAATGAAAATTACTTAATGATAAGTTAAATTTCTAATTAAAATTTTGTAAACATATCGAGTTCCATTTAACTGAAATATATATAGCTACACTTGTGTGGGAATGAGAATAAAGACTAATTTAAGTAGCGGGAAAAAGGAAGGAAGGAGATATCAAAAGTAAATATAAATCTTCTATACAATACGACTAGACACACAATAAACAGTTCAAAGACGTATCATTGAATTTCCGCCAAAAAGCGTACGTTACGATACATGTACAATACAATGTAACACGATAACAGACGACAAGATAAAAAAAAACAAAGAAAAAAAAAATTGACGCATGCGCGGACATTAAACCGGTAGGTTTCAGGGGGTTCATTTTGTGACATACAAATTAAAGAAAAAAGAATATCAACACACCCTCGTCAATCTGCATAATACAGGGGGGGGGGTATGTCCCGGTGTTCAAATCAGATTTCTATTAAATATCGCGACAGACAGTGTGGAAACTGGAGTGCGGGTAACTAAAACCTGCACTCCACAACAGAAAGGTCCCCAAACTATGATACAAATAAAGCACGCTCGTTAATTGGCAACATTTTTCTGCGGTTTACTTATTGTGACAAAAGGGAAAGAGATAACGATAGAAAAGTCATATACAGATGTTCGTAGACTGATTACTTTTTTTCTTGGGTTTCATATTGTGACTACAAGGAAAGTGTTTTCATTTTTGCCTATGATACAAAGGAGAAAAAACACCAAAACACGCCCCTTATAAAAATCAGATATGCTCTTTCTATTACTTATACACAGACACGTAAAAACAAATTCACCCAATTGCTTAAATATACAAGTCATACATTCGAAAACCGTTACAAATTACATGTATAATTATAAAAGCGCATGCAATTGTCGAAAGAGCGCACAAAGCCATTTAAAATGCACTTAAATTCATACAATAGTAAATGTTTATTATACGGATATTTTTTTTAATTTAAAGGAAAGAAAGAAGAAATTTGATTCGAGTCCAATGTAATAATATTTGAATCTATATTTTGCCAAGGTCTTTCAAATAGAAAGACCCTGGTTTTACGTATGAGTGTCCCATTAGCCCATGTATAAGGACATGTTTTTGTATGTAACTATGAACTATAAATGTTCGAGACAGACGAATAACTTTCTGTTCTGTTCCAGATTAATAACATTAACTAAACATGACATCATTTTTTTTATAATTTAACAAGCTTTTTACTAACACAGTTGATTTGCTTCTGATTAAATAATAAATACAGTGCACGGTAAAGAAGAATCATATGGATATTCTCAAGTTACAGTGTCGAACATTCGTGGTTCAAATTTTGATCATTAAACTGGAACTTGTTAAACAGGCGGTCATAAAGTTTACTGACCGATGGTTCTAGTGTATAAATCTCGTTCCACAAATAAGACTGAAATATTTTTTAATGATAATAGTGATAATTGTAACCATGCAGTACATTGACAGGCCAATTGTAAGGTCAGATAAAAGCACTGTACACTGCTCCGGCACACCCTAATATTTTATGATAGAGAAAAAAGGAATTTCTCCCTCAAACGCTTAAAACGAGAAAATGTAAATATCGAAGACTAGTTTGAAATTTAACATGTTCGTGGACAGTACAGAAAAGTACATGCTGCCGCTCATGCTCCCTAGCACCGGTTAAAGCAGAATATCACACATTTAACGTGGGATGATACAAAAATGAATTTAGAAACATCCACAGATGCGTTCATTGGACATTCCACATATAAAGTACTTCAAGTCCATTTCACAAATTAGCGGGGTGTAGATTCAACAACATTTTTACATACCGCCAGGTCTTTTCATTACCGGTCTTTGTCCAAAATACATTGACCTTCTTTTTATGAACTTGTAAACAAATCTTCTTGTCAAATAGAGCATGCTTTGTTTACAAAATATACACTCGCGAAATTTAATGTTTAACTTTATACTTAAAATGGTATAAAATAACATTTAATATATTGACAGTTGTGAGAAATTAAACATAGAAGACAAGACAATATTTACAAATAATTATTTTTTCACGTGGTAAACCAACTTAATAGATTAATGATATGCAAATGTATGTAAACCGTGAACTATATTAAACACTACAGCTAGCTGTACTTTGATTGCTATGAAGAATTACCTGTATAACAAAATTGCAGTGTTTGGTGTTTGTACCTTTTTCTGAACGGGATGTAAATTTTTAGTGACAGATATTTGGCTGTCAACATAAATAAATATTGAGGATTTCGGAGAATAAACGTATGTATGTTTAAATGCAATTTGTTTAAATTATGTTTAAAGTCAAGTTACGGTTAATAAACATCATAAAATACATATATTATATTATTTTCTTTTAACGTACTTACTGTCACAAGCATGCATATTATACATACATTCAAACAAATAATTTGTTTTGTTTGTTTACAATCACATTGACACTGTCACACTTTCATGATGTTTGAGTGAGGCGTACATGATGGACCTTCATGCATTATTTAAACGGTGAAGGCCTGCCTGTCTCCCGTCAGCGATTTGCAAAGTTTCCTTATACAACAATGAGCGTCTGTCTTTGGGATCGGGCTCTATCCAAAACTTTTTATGAGAAAATGTGTGTCAAAGTTTCGAACTTGATTAACTCTTAACGTTTTAAAGTTACCCAGTTTGAATTTTTAACAGTTCAGTTTAAGGGATCTCAATACCAAAATATACGTGTATATCATAACCTACCAACAGTATCGAGCCCGGTTAGACTGGACCGATGTCCCTGCCGGGCTGGCTCCTGTACTGGTTGCAAAAGTTTATCACTTCCGGTTTCAGCCGGGTCAGAGTTCAATTGTTATGAAAGCCGCTTTTATTTATTTCAATCATGAGCCTACAAAACGTTAACTAATTTATAACATGATTTGATACACACGCTATAGGTGGATATTTTAACTTAGTAAACTCGACAGTTCATGCTTCAATAAATATGAATGACTTAAACGCGTCTTCCTTAATGAAATGAATACGTGTATCTAGATATTTTTTTTTACGTTTATAGATGAATTATATAATTTATGCACCGATAAGAGTACTTCTATTTTTTTCAAGGTTAGTTTGATTTTGTATTTGATTATAATAAATCTAGTAATTCTGTTTCTCAAATTCTTGTTCGACAAATCTCAAAGATAAATAAATAAATTAATTATTTAATAACTTAATAAATAAATAAATTATTTCATATTCATTTAATCATATTCTATTCTAATGTATTCAAATAAATAAATTAATTAATACTTAATAAATAAATAAATGAGTTCATATTCTTTTAATATATTATATTCTTATGTAAAATATGTTTTAATAATTTAGCCATCGAAAGCTCAACTTTTACCACTTCTGTGTATGGTTTATAGACTCAAAGGATATTCAAGTTTTGCAATAAATACAGGATTTATTTTCATTGAGTGCTATGAAAATAAATATTTCATACCACAAGATGACAAAAAAATCTGCATTTAGAGAAAACACTTGAATTGTCTGTTTTTATATATAAATGTTTCTCTTTTTGACATTTCATCACTTCAATTTTACATATTGGCTGAATTTGGAAGAAAGAAGTCCGACAAGACACCAGTGAAAACACGGAAAAATATGTTTCACAACAGTGAAAATATTTTTTTACTGTGAAAATACGGAATATCGAAAATAACTTTTTATTTCATCAATATTTCATGTATAAGTATATAATAAAGTGGTGTTATTAACCTCATCGAAATGTAGAGTGCGTGTATTTTAACCACCGTTCGTTTGATGTAATACATTATTGCAGCATCTTCAGAAAACATAAAAAGCGGCATTATTTGTATACCAGCACTAAGCTGATGTTGTTTAAAACCTGTGTCAAAATGAGTTAGTTATTCAAAACGGAGCTTAGAATAAGTAGAATAATAGGCGTTCATGTTATATGAATATAATTTATTTCAATATAATTCAAGACAAATTGAGTAAGCTAGTTTCATTTGTTTTTTTTAAGGTGACTGAAATCTGGAATATTTTGCACAGAGTCAATGGCTACATCAGAAGAAAGGCTTGCCTTGTTTAAGGCGGAGTACCCTCACACAGATAATGTTTCCCTGACCGGGGCAGATCTGGGCGTGGTGGCCGGATACTTTGTTATTATCATTGCCATAGGAGTTGTGGTAAGTTGTAAAAAAATACAAATTGTAACAATTTTAGATGTTTTATGGTAAAGCTTTCTTATAAAAGAAAGAAACAATTTGAATGTTAAAAGTTTTTGTGTAATACAAAAAAAAAATACTTTCTATATAGTGCCATTTTTAATAAGTGATCTAGTTTTAGGGGTTTTCGGATCAAAGTTTTGCCTTCCCGATTTAAAATTGCCGTCTGTTTAATTTTGTTATAGTATTTCCTTATTAAATGACATTAATTGAAACAAATTAAGGTGGCATAACAATGAGGGGGGGGGGGGGGATAACATGTCTGCATATAAAGTGCAAAAACTGCATGGAGACAATAGTTTTGTCATACTTACATAAATACAAATATTACAAAGGTTTATGTTGAACGTGATTTGAATAAAGAAATGATATTTTAATTTACATAGAGAAAGGAGATAAAGTTGAGCTTCGGGTGAAAGTAAATTTAAACCGACCATAATGAAAGTTGAGATAATTAGAAAGTAGGGGATACGGATTGGGGCGCGTTTTCGTTGCTTTTCATTTCAAGGTTGAATATTTGTGATAATGGGCGTTTTTCCATGTTTAAGTTTAATATTGTAATTATAATAATGACTGATATTGCAGACGACACGCATTCCCACACAGCTTTCCGCATGTTACATTATTTGTTCTTTTAGTTCCGTTTACCAGTAGTCCATTTGAGAATAGTAAAACAACATAGAAAGCCTTTCCACAAAGAAACCTTTTTATTCATTCTTTTTATAACAAATGAACCTTCTCATTATAAGTTATTACCTCCCCTTTTATTTCTATAGCACAACCTATGTATAGTTCTACGACAGTCAGTCAACACAAGAAATTTAACAAACAAAACAAAGAGACAAGGAAAAATTCATTCAAGACAATGTAAAGTGTCATATTATTATAACATCATTTTATTTCAGGCAATGTGCAGGTCTAATAGAAGCACAGTTGGTGGCTTCTTTCTCGCAGGAAGATCTATGTTCTTTTTACCTGTAAGTATGACCTTGTGAAAGCATGATATTAATTACAAAAAGGTGCGTTCAATAGACTATTCCTTTTCTCTTGTTTACATTCTTTAGGTACGGGAAAATACGTCATGTATTTATGTGACGTCATGTTGTGACGAAGAGGTACCCTAAAGGGAATCTTATTTCGACGTTTCATTTGAAACAGCAATGAGTTTTTAAAAAAATCGTCTAAACTCGGCAGGGGAAGGGTAATAAAATTATTATTTTGATTTTGGAGTGATATATGTGGATATATTACCTGCCAAGATAAAATATCACCCTCGCCTAACGGCTCGGGTGATATCAAATCTTAACAGGTAAGATATCCACATATATCACTCCAAAACCAAAATAACATATAATGTATATCACAAGTAAACCATGTATATGTCACATATTATGTTACATATAACAATTTAACCATGCTTTTGACACACATATGATAAATTTTACAAGTAAACCATGGTTTGAACAAATATAATTTTAATCACAACTAAACCATGCATAGGCATATATTATGATACATATCACAAGTAAATCATGTTTAGGACACATATTAAGATATATATCACAAGTAAACCATGTTTAGGACACATATTATGATATATATCACAAGTAAACCATGCTTAGGACACATAGTATGATATATATCACAAGTAAACCCACGCTAAGGACACATATTATGATATATATCACAAGTAAACCATGCTTAGTACACATATTATGATATATATCTCAAGTAAACCATATTTACAGGAGAATGAACCTCTGATTTATTTATTATAGATTCTATTAGTTTTGGCTTATTTCAGATTGGTGCTTCACTGTTTGTCAGTAACATCGGAACTGAACATTTTATAGGTCTTTCCGGCTCGGGTGCTGCACAGGGTATTGGTGTTGGAGCATGGGAATTTAATGTAAGTAATCAGTACAATGTTTGAGAGAAATTGATACTTATGTATAGAATATATTTTCAAAATAGAAATCCATGGAATACCAAACCGCCGAAATGGGGAGCTCGACTAGCATTAAAGTGTATATGTTTGCTGATGACATAACTGATCAATTAACAACCATGAAGTCTTGCAAATTAACATCTTTGTGATAATAACACCTAATTCTGAAGTATATTATTGAACAAGGAGGGCACGTACAAAATATAAGGACATAAGCATAGAACACTATTTTAATGCGCTATTGAACATAATAAATGAAAAATTCCAATTTATTATAGCCTATAATTTCATTACAATAGTTTATTTTACCTTTCAATCGAAGGTATCTCGGGTTCGACCTGTATTTAGCTTAAGCAGAATTTTGTTTATGTATATTTTATTGAAAGAAGGTAATGCGTCTAATTTGCGCCATGTTATAATGGTGCCAGAATTCAAATGATTATCAAATATGATAACAATTATAATGTAATGACATGTTATTTAAATGAAACGTGTTATTTATTTTCAGGCAACCCTACTCTTACAGCTACTCGGCTGGATATTTATCCCCGTGTACATCGCATGTGGGGTAAGTTTTTTTTAAATTTGTTGTTTTGTTTTTGTGCCGACGAATACTTTAATTCGATGATAAGCTTTGTTGATATATACAGGTGACCTTTTTTTCAACTTGTTTATCTTTGAATAATATTAGAGAACAAGAAGAACATTATGTTTGTATATATAGGTTTACATTCAATGTTTGAATATTTAATGGTTTGAACTTTCTCCGCTCGAGTGTTCCATCGCCTTTGACATCAACGTTCCATCATCATTAAACCTAGATTTAATCATGATAATGAAAATTTGAATTTTATCTTGACTATTTTAGTTTTTTTATATGTATGTATGTGTCACTTAAGATAGTAAGAATACCTGAACCTCATTAATATTCATGGCAAGCTAGATTTACATAAACAATCATGTAAAGTAAACATAGCACCTCACCTGGTTGGTCGACAAATTGACAGATGTAATATGTAAAAAGTTCATCTTTATAAACATATACCATCACTGACCGATAAAAATGAGTGTTCGTTTTGCAGATATTTCATAAGTTATAATTATATTATTATTGTCAAATTCGTAATTAGACAATAAAAAAGTTAATTATATAATCTGAATTTCAGACGTACACGATGCCTGAATACCTCACAAAGCGGTTTGGTGGTGAAAGACTGCGGGTTTACTTTGCATTACTGTCTCTAATTTTATATATATTCACAAAATGTTCTGTAAGTATTTGAAGTACAATTAGCCATTTCTTTTCCGCTGTAAAGCTATATATTATGAGGTGTTTAATATTTATTGTTGAGTGCATTACCGAATTCTGTAAGAATAGTACACAGCTGTGAAACCTGCGCAAGACATCTAATATGTCTATATGTGTTTATTTTGTGTTGAACAATGACTAGTTGTTCACCGTCATTGGTAAACATGGTGAATTACTTTAATAAACATCAAACGAGTTGAATTGGCAGTTTTTTACAAACGTTTATTCATAAAACTTGAGAAGGAAGTTACTTGATTGAGCTGTATATATAATGTAAAAATGAAGCCAGCAAGATAATGTTTAGATTGTCATCCCTCTGATTAACTTAAGTTATATTTAAATCAGACGTTTTGAGCAAATAAAACCAGTTATATCTTGCCATACGTTTACTTTATATGCTTATGTATCAAGTAATTTTGCCCGTGGGCCCGGAAAAACTGGTGGGAGAGTTTGGGGCCCGCGTGGCAAAAAGGGGGGGAAAATGGGTGGGGGGTAGAGTTTTTGGGAAATTTTAAATTTTCATTATAAAACTCTTTATCCCAATTTTAAAAAACGACTTTTTTTTGAAAATGCAATTTGTTTTCTTTATTTTTATAATTTTTAATTTTTAATTCATTCATACCAATAAAAGTATAAAAAATTATATTTACGTAAATTTTTTAAACCCGGGATTATTTTTTTTCCCATTTTAGGGGGAAACTTTTTCACGGGGGATTGTTTATAAGCCCAAAATTTGCCCAAAATGGGATTTATATTTATGTATATTTATCCTAGTCACTGTTACAGGAATAATGACCATGACAGGTACGTTCCTAACATGTTTTTAGTTTGTATTTTTCGACCATGTGCTGTTTGTTTCCGCCATGACTTCCGGTAAATGTATGGTCTTTTCGCTATCCCTTTCCCGTTATTTTCCGCACAGGCAGTCCGTGTGCTGCGATATCACTTTAATGTTGCTTTAGATGTGCATTATAGACATTAACTCTATCAAACAATATATATGCTATTCCGATAAATAAAGTATTCAGTCGATAAACGATTACTCCCCTTTATCATACTGACTAAACGAGGATAAAATCTGACATTTTTATACACAAAACTTAGCTAAAGTAATCTACCGGCTTTTGACATGTCTACAAGAATGAGTTAGCATTTAAGCCATCTAATCTGTCCATTAATTAAAAAGTTTATCGTTCATCATCTTATTTTTCATCGACATAACTTTTCATCTGGTAGCACTTTGATATATGAAGAAAAGATATATTTATTTATGAAATTAATTATTGTGTCTAACTTTTACTGAAAAATCACCATATAATTTATCACATTTATATTTTCATGTTACATGTGGTTTGACCGCTGTGATATATACAGACACCATGCAGGCCATACTGATGGTTGGTGGCGGTCTAACTTTGATGGCAATGAGTAAGTATCTATTGTATATCATTGTTTATATCATGTGTTATGTGTTTACATGTGTATGTTCAGGGGTGTTTAACTTTGTTTGATGTTGATGTTTGATTTTAATTGCCTATGCTGACAATTCTTAATTCTTTATTCAAATGAACAATATATAATTTGAATTTCTTGTTTTTTTTGTACACAAGTCCGTGCACGAAGATGCGCAATGACAAAAGCACTAAAATGATTATCCTTCAAATCAATGTATAACATTAATATGTATTTAGATTAGGTAGATGCAAGAAAAAATGTTTTTAAAGAAAGCGATATAGAAAAAAGACATAATCATTTGTTAAAATCGTAAATTTAAGGTTTCTCAAAGATCGGTGGTTATGACGGCCTTGCCCGAAAATACCCGAATGCAACTACCAAGATGACGTATAGAATGCCAAACACCACGTGTCACGAGACAGACCCGAACTCGTTCCGGATGTTACGTGAAGCAGACGATGACTATATGCCGTGGTTAGGGTTTCTGCTAGGACAGACGCCGGGGTCTATTTGGTACTGGTGTGCCGATCAGGTATTCTAACGTAAGCTTAATTTCTTGGACCATCTCGTAATACTAGTATTAGTATAAGTCTATAATTACACCTATCATTCACTTAAGTTTATTCTGCCAATTTGACATTCATTACAAATAATCTGTAAAATAAAATATATTGTGCAGAAATCTTATTCGTTTGACAAATCAGTTACCATTTAGATAAAAGATAGTGCTTGGAGAAGCCGTTTGTAATGTAAAGATTTAAACATCAAGATTATGAGCAAAAAGAACTTTCTCTTGCATTTTTTTGTTGGGTACAGGGTAATCGGTAGAACAATAATATCTTTACAATACATTACAATGGTTTTAATTCAATCCTATCTCATTGCAGAGATATTCTTCATACAGATATAATTTTTGCCCTGATGATCATAAGAGAAACCGGTTGGCAAATAATTAAATAAGTTAACTCATGGACTGTGTTTTTTGTTTTATTTATATGTGACTTTTTTCCGGCACTTGTTTTCATTTTTTGTATATATATATATATATATAACTTTGTTGAAACTGGCCACGCGTTTCTATAAAGGGGCTGATCTCTATTTTTTCTCCATTGCTATTTATTCATTCTCTTGTCAGGTGATTGTGCAGCGCCTCCTAGCGGCCAAGAGTTTGTCACATGCTCAAGGAGCCACACTGATGGCCGGTTTTATAAAAGTTTTACCATTATTTATGATGGTGATGCCTGGAATGATCAGCAGAGTTCTCTACGCTGGTAATTAAATGTTACCTGTATACCATCGGGGCCATGCCAATGGGGTTGGGTGTTGGCCAACAATATTTAATCGGTGCAACACATGCAAATCTTATATGATGATTTTTGTTTGTATTAACTGGCTCTCTTTCAAATATATATTAGCATAATCCTGATTTTAGCAGGACTCAAGGATGCAAGATCATTAAGAACAATTATCTGGACAGTCACCCCATGTGCACAAAAAGCCCTTGGCTTTACACTGTCACAATTGTGTACCGTGGCTTTCATATACTTTATTATACGTGATATTTTATTGCGTGCCTTTTGTAATACTTAATGATCAATCAGACTAAAGTTCATATCTACTAAAGTTATTTCTTGCATGTAGCGTAAATAAGGAGCTGATTTTTATCAGAACAGACTTAGTAATATGCATATTAATTAGTGCTTTCATGGTCTTTCTGAATCTCAGAAGCATAATATAAAGGTTAATGTGAAAAGGGTCACTTCTTATCTTTTCGAAAATTGTGAAGGAAAACTTAAAAAATATGTTATTAGAAAAATGGCTGAACTGCACTTTATTTTTATGTTATACATGTAATTCATATTTTTTCTGTTATTACAGACGAGGTTGCATGTGTTGACCCACAAATATGTAACTATGTATGTCAAAGCGAGGCTGGATGTAGCAGTATAGCTTATCCGAGACTTGTCCTCGGTATCATGCCAGAAGGTGGGTTACAGAAACAAGATGTGGTTCAGACTTTCAGAATTTGCACTTTGTACATGTTTCTTTTATCCCTTTTCTGCGTAATCTTAAATGCCAATATATTTTCCCAATATTCTTTTTGTCAAAATAATATGTTTGGGTGTGTACAAATGGCAATTTTGAATTTCAAAGAAAAAATACTACTGAACGACTAAAACTAAATGAAGCTAATTTGCGATTTTAAACGACAAAAATCATAGATTATTTGTAAAATACCGAATCGTTTAAATACATTTTACTTTAAAGATAAGTAGTACTAAGATATGTCCGTACAATTTTCCAACTAAATTGTAAATATAAGAATTTACTATATCCCGTAGTCAATCGTTAAGATATTGCAATATTTGTCAAAGTTAACTTAATTTTTTTATTTATTTTCCTTTATTGACACATCTTTTAGCTTCATGTTTAAGGAAGAAAATACCCTTACCATATATATCTCAATTTTATTTCCGATGAGTTGAATGCAATAAAAAAAGTCCTGATTGCATACGAACATGTATATTCAGGTTTACGTGATCTTATATTCAGATTTACGTGGAATGGTATTTAGGTTTACGTGATCTTATATTCAGGTTTACGTGGTCTTATATTCAGGTTTACGTGGTCTTATATTCAGGTTTACGTGATCTTATATTCAGGTTTACGTGATCTTATATTCAGGTTTACGTGGTCTTATATTCAGGTTTACGTGATCTTATATTCAGGTTTACCTGATCTTATATTCAGGTTTACGTGGTCTTATATTCAGGTTTACGTGATCTTATATTCAGGTTTACGTGGTCTTATGATGGCGGTGATGATAGCGGCTCTTATGAGTGACCTTGACTCGATCTTTAACAGCGCCAGTACCCTGTTCACTGTTGATATTTATACTAAAATTAGAAAGAACTGTTCTCAAAGAGAACAAATGCTTGTAGGCAGGTATGATTTAAATAACAACTACTTCTACATTTTATCATTATATAAAACTATCCTTGTCGGGGAAGTATTTTAAGGAAAGAAATGTGATGAACAAATCTGCGACTGTTTCTAAATTCATAATTTCAATTTTCATGTTTTAATGTTGAATTCTGCTTAAGCCGGTGCTAAGGGGCTCGGACTGTACTTCGCACTTGACAGTACCGTCCATGAACAGGCTCAATCAAACCGAACCTGCAACATTTTCAATTTTGCCGTGTTGCACTTTCTTTAGGGATTCCTATTTTCCATTTTTTGAAATACGTTCCGCGTCACGTGTGATTTTTTCGTGCCCGGTGTGTGTACCCTATGCTTTCTGGGATTGATATTTGTTAAAATATAAAAAAAAAACTCCTTTTCCAATCAGACCATATGGAACGTTTTGTTTTATGAGATATAGATAAGGTTTTACAGACTTCATTTTTATTTCAGACTTTTCATACTCATCATGGTGGGCGTGTCAATAGCGTGGGTACCAGTGCTAAAGGAGACACAAGGGGGTCAAGTTTTCATTTATATACAAGAAATTACAAATTATTTGGCTCCACCTTTTGCAGCCATATTTCTGCTGGCAGTACTAGTACCGATGGTCAATGAACAGGTTATATGCTTATTTAAATGATTGTATTAATTATTCAAGGCAATAGAAATCACTATATTTCACTCATGACTTTTTTACCCTTATGAAAATGTAAATCTTAATCCAGTATGTTTTATTAAAGGCACATTATACCTCAGTAATCTATTTGAGAATGTCAAACATACGTTTATATAATGGATTTAACTAAAGAAGAAAGTTGCGCTGAATGTGCAGTAATGTGTCGTGAAGCGTAGCAAAATGTAAACAAAGTAGTATTTTGACTTCCATCCAAAATGCTTATTCACTATGATTATACCCCATTGTCAACAGAGCAAAAGAAGTAAAACTTAGCTCATCTATGTGCCAAATGAGTATTTTTTGAAAACTGTAACGAGATACCAAAAATAGAAAGTTTTTGACAAATTGAAATGATTACATTGCTGAGGCACAATTGGCCTTTAAAGCTTGTGCAATTTTCAAACATTCACTTCTTGTGTTTATGTCCGGGACAACTGGAACTATGTGTGTAAATGTCATTTTAGATCCATTATTTGGCTTTTTATTAATTGACCATGAGTTTATGGGGATCAATCTATGTAAAAGACTGTAAAGTATAGTTTGTTCTAATTTTACAGGGAGCATTCTGGGCGTTGATGTTGGCTTTTCTGAGTATAGTTTGTTCTAATTTTACAGGGAGCATTCTGGGCGTTGATGTTGGCTTTTCTGAGTATAGTTTGTTCTAATTTTACAGGGAGCATTCTGGGCGTTGATGTTGGCTTTTCTGAGTATAGTTTGTTCTAAATTTTACAGGGAGCATTCTGGGCGTTGATGTTGGCTTTTCTGACTGGTGTTTTAAATTTTACAGGGAGCATTCTGGGCGTTGATGTTGGCTTTTCTGACTGGTGTTATACGGATGATCTTGGCATTTGTCTACTACAGTAGTGGAGGCTGTGGTAAAGATGACAATCGTCCCGCCATCTTGAAGAACTTTCATTACATGTATTTCTCGCTATTTATCACACTGTTGACTGGTGTGACAGCTATTGTGATCAGTTATTTTACCGGCAGACCTCATGAGAAATACGTAAGTAGGTTCAACACTGGATCGTTTTTAACGTAAATTTTTAGCTTGTCACCATTTTACTGTTGTAAAATATCTAGGTTCAGCGCGGTTGTTTTCAGCTTAAATGGAGATTGTCAACATATTATTACAAAGTAGATTCAGCGCCGGGTCGTTTTCAACTCAAATGAAGATTGTCAGCAAAGCCTATTAATGTGAACATCATTTCACTGTATTTACTTTTTAGAAATAAATTTGATGTTAATATGTTGATCAAGAAACCATAGTGACAATCCATCAATAAATTACATAACAGCAAATCATCCTTAAACTTTGACAGTGATATCTCTGGTTAGCCTTAACATTCTTATGATAATCTTTAAAAACCCGCAAAAGACGCCGGTAAATTACACATAAAAAATAGTTTGCTTTAATGACAAAACCTTAGTGAGTTAATTTATTTGACAAACAAACAAGTACAGATTTGCTTCATTAGCAGAATTAACTGCGTTCAGGATGTGGCAAACCTCATAAAAACATACTATAAATCACATTACAAACGTCTTAATTCTGTGGACATTGATAAACAATGTGGGTTAATTGCTTTGTAATGTCTGTTGTTTTGCTCGAATTGTCAATCTTATTGCTTTGTCATAACATCAATATAGATCAGTATCTTTTTAAACCTAGCTGAGACTAATTTCTTACTAATATTAATTACAATTTACCTGTTTAATATATCTTGAGTAAAACGTTATGTTTTAGTTCATTTTCATCTTTATATATGCAAAAAGTTTATGTTAAATTCATAAACAGTTTCTTGTCTAAAAAATGCAAATGAATTTGTTTGCTAATGTTTAAGTCGTCTTAAAGACTCCATACATTTAAATAGCTTTATATGTCACAGTTAACGTGTCCGTAATATAGAGAAAGTACACAGAAAACAACAAATGTTTTACATAAGAATTGTATAAATCACATGAAACTGTAGGAAACTTTTTTTATAAATAATCATATCTCATTATTTTCAACCTTAGGACATGGTACGTTTTATATGGCAGGTTGAAACGATTCAAAAGTACATATAGCTATTCTACGTTTTCATACTATTCTTTTCTATAATAACGTTTTGATTTCAATCAAGTACCGGTATCATAAAAATGCATTAATCTGATCAAAATTCTTTCCAACTCATTGGTGTTTGTTAAATATTAACGTAAAGTATGTCTAAATGTTTTTTTTTTTCATGAACTTACAAATCTACAACCTTTAAAGATATATTATGTGAAATATTTTTATTGCAGAAACTTATTGAAATCTATAAAATTCTTACTGAATATGCCTTATTTGAATAAAATAGCGTGCATGTACAAACTATGGATGGGAATCTATGTTCCTTACTGTTGGTCAAATAAAGCCGGGACTTTCTTTAAAAAAAAATCTGCCCGTTTTTAAATGACATTATATATTCATAGTTTGTCCATTTATTATATTGTGTAGGATTTAAAGCCTATGATATATCTGCTTTGTATGAAGTAAAAACATGTTTATCTTATATTTACAAACAGACTGTGTAGCAATTATCAATATTTTCAAATATCAAACTCGAGCATAGCATATCTTTAAAATTAATACTATTACGAAAAACGTTGTTTTTCCTCTTTTCTTTTCTTTGTCAAGTTGACACGTACGACATTTTGGACGAGGAAATCTGCTCCGTACATAGAAGAGACAGAACCTGACAAACCAGGTCAAGATAAGGAGAATGGTTTCACAAATCTTGCAGCAACAGGTGATAACAATATGCACGTGTTCTCCGTGGAGGAAAAACATCACTACAGGGACCCGAAACTTGATGAACCAGAAGAAGATAACGGTTCGACACCTATATTATATCTAAATTTCTAGATGCAGACAAATTAAAATTAGAACTTGAATTTCAGTTTAAATCCTGCCGGTATCAATCATTAACTAGCACTTTTCGAGTTTCTTACTTCTGAAAATATCTCTTTTATTTTATTTGAGGAGCAAGCTTTTTATTAAACAGAAACAGTCAGTCTTTCAATGTATATAACGATTTACTATTGGATTTCTTATCCTTTTAATAGCATTATTAATAGTTTAATTCTTGCTTTGCAGAGATGCATTGCGCGGGAAAGGCGCTGAATTATGTTTGCGGAATCACAAACGAAGTTGACGAAGAAAAGGAACGGCAACTGCGGTTACACATGGAGAAAGTTGCGTGCCTTGAACAAAACAAATACGCCAAAATAGGCCTTAATATAGGTTTAGTGATAATTTTAACCCTGGGTGTTTTCTTGTATATATTTTGGTCCTTTTGGAAATATGAACCCTGAACATTGCTGGTGTGTTCAAGTTGAATTTGACACAAAATATCAAAACTCATGTAATCAGAACTAGCCTAGTGGAGTTATAGAGAACTATTTACATTCTATATTTGAAATATGCAAAATAGTAGAATTGTAATGTATCTCTTCAAAACAGGTTCGTCAACAAAAACTATCAGGATTAACTAGCACAATATGTCTAAATACGTATTAATATTGATATTAAATAATTGATATAAAATGATTGCAAAATACAAGTGTGACAATAAGACCTAATTTAAACTGCAATATCAGTATTTTGACACTTTTGGAGTCTCCATATATACATGATTGCGTTTTTTTCTCAAAAAATAACTTTACGTGCCGCTCATGTGAAGTGGTTGTGGTCTTCATCCATTGGTAAAATGTTGCAAAAATCGAACTACAAAGTCAATCTTATATACATGATTGTTTTTTCCTTTCTCAAAAAAATCAAATTACGTGTCGCTCACGTTAAGTGGTTATGGTCTTCATCCATTGGTGGAAAGTTACAAAATTCGAACTACAGAGTCAATCTTAATAAGATAAATCAAAAGACGAATTCAGTTATTTCCTAACGTTTGACAGAACTAATTTTCAAGACCGGATATTGCAGAGGCTGGCTGCATCATTAGCTTTTATGTTATTAACCTCTCAGGCCATGTTGCTTCATGGGAATGTTATTTTTTACATACATATCAAATGTACACATATAAGTAGTTCTATTAAAGATAAGCTTGATAATTACGTGTGATTTGTTTTCTTAATATATATTCTTTCCAAAATCATGCATGAATTTGTACCACAATTAAGTTCATGTAAAATGAAAATGTAGTAATAAAACCAATAAAATTTAAGACAAGACTTCACTTCTCTGACCCAGCTGTTGATTCATATATATATACAAATTTTTTAGTGCATTACCTGGCCCAAGATTTGAAGATCAGGATCAAAATTAACAACAAGTGTTGGTGTGACAGCGTGCTCAACTATTCCAAGAGTTTGGTAGTAAAACAAGAGCCCTAGATAATGTAGAATTTTCTAATTGTCCAGATTTGTTCTTAGTGAATAAAAGAATCTTGACATCATCCTAGATTCTGTAAATCACTTCATGTTGGCAAATAGTCGTTCATAAACGTGTGGTTTATAGGAATATTGTCAATTTCATTTCTATATGCACTATAGGTAAGTTTAAACATCAGTTAGGACTAGATTGTAATAGAAATTCAAAGCTTACTTGAACAACATAATTGCACCCTCATAACAGAGACATTTTTTTCCAGGAAATTCAATCAAAGATTTTTTCTATGTGATTCAATCGAAGAATTATTCCATGGAATTCAAAGAAATTTTTTATGGGATTTAAATCAAAGAACTATTCTAAGGAATCCAGTCAAACATTCATGAAACAGAGGTGAGATTCAGAGCAAGATGTTTTAAAGGAGATTTCTTTATTCATCACAAATGTTATTTGCATATTGACATACATAACATTATGTGTCATAACATAATATGTAACACATATATATGCATTTATGGCTCTAAACTTTCAAACTGTTAAGTAATATATATGTTATTGAAATAAAAAATATATTCAATAACATTTATTAAATAAAATAACCAAACATGTACATATAAATAACAATACAAAACATTATCACAGTATACGAGGGTTGTCCAAAAAATTCGTGCACTGCAGTTATTGTCGTGAGAGTTATTAATAAAAACAAACAAATTATATATCACTTGAAAGAGAAATCTGTCTCAAATAAGAAAAACAAAAGAAAAAAACGAGTAACCGGCGTGTCGTGTAAAAGAATTGCCATTAAGTAACCTTAGTAACGTAATACCGGCGCACAACAAAAAAATGGGTTAATTTATTACTGTAATTGTATTAATTGTTTGTTGCTTGTAAAGTGGTATTTGCTTTTTATGTTATAATTTGTTTGACTGTCAATAGAGGAATGATTGATACAAAGTATTTAGTATTTTTTATTGTTTTTATGCAACGTACATGTAGCATATTCCACCAGTACAGGAATATATTGGATATCCGTCGTCACATGCGCCGGCATTACGGACGGACGTCTGTCTGACCGGTTGTCATCGTCTACAGACCCTCTTTCTCTTCCACAGAGCGTTTGTGCCATTTAAAAAACCAGTTTTCGTGACACTGAACTTGTCCCGCTTGCCCTTTTAAGTTCTTTGTAGGTATTTGTTGGTGTTTTACCAAAATTTGCATCAAATTTAATGATCGTACGTATTTCCAGACATTTAGCGACCGACATTTTCACGTAATTACAGTATAGACGACCACACACAAATGTTTTTTTACGACTGTTACAATAGGGCAAATGACTCCATATTTTCTAGTGACGTTAGGAATATGTACACACACTTTTCCCCGAATTTTAACGTTAATATGTAGTGTTTAAAGAATACCGTAATGCATCAAAGTAATGAACTAACCCAATTTTTTGTTGTGGGCCGGTATGACGTTACCAAGGTAACTGTATGATGATTCGTTTTCAGGGCATGCCGGTTACATGTTAATTTCTTTTGTTTTCTTATTAAAGATATATTTCCCCTTCAAGTGATATATGATTAATGTTTTTCTATCAATAACTCACACGACAATAACTGCAGTGCACGAATTTTTTGGACAACCCTCGTATATGGACGTTTGAAATAAAAAAAAGAAAATAGAATACTTTTATCTAAATGTTAATGAGAATGCTTAAAAAGTTTAATAGATAAAAGACAATATTTTTTCAATAAGTTTCATACCTTATTATCCTAGAATTATTATCTACCATTTAACAGAAAGTAACCTTTATAAGATATATGCTTTTCCATTCAAATTTCACACATTTCAACAATGTTAGGCTTTATATTATATGTGTTAATGTTGACTAAACTAGAATAATTTAAAAACCAAGTTATAGCTATAGGCTTTTACATTTAGCACATTTTATAATAACTTTGTTTAACATATATATGTTTAAAATAAGTAATACTATTAATTATATGTTTTAATGTTGACCTTAAATTCAACATAGAACAAATTATGACAAAATTCTGCACTGTTTCATATATCTAATAACAAATTTTTTGTTATCACATTAACAATCACGTTTAACGGTATCAGCAGATAACTATTTACATTTTCCAGTTCATACACTCTCTTTTATTCCAAATCTTCATTATAAAAAACTTTCAAAATTTTCAAAGAATTATGACAACAGAGAATTTATTCAAAGATTTTTCTATGGAATTCAATCAAAAATTTTTTCTACGGAATCCAGTCAAAATATTTTTCCAAGGAATCCAATTAAAGAATTTTTCCATGGAATCCAATAAAATAATTTTCCCAAAGAATCCTGTAAAAGAATTTTTTTAAGGAATCCAATTAAAGAATTTTTCCAAGGAATCTTATTAAAGTTTTTTTCCAAGGAATCTAATAAAAGATTGTTTCCAAGGAATCTAACTAAAGAATTTTTCCAAGAATTCCAATTAAAGAATGTTTCAAAGGAATCCAATTAAAGAAATTTTCCAAGGAACCAAATGAAATATTCTTTCCTAGAAATCCAGTCAAAGATTTTTTTTCCAAATCATTCAATTAAAGAGTTGTAACTATATTAAAGTAAAAAGTGACATTATGTAAATCTGTATTTGTATTTAAGCCTCAGTCACATCCGGGGTCTGTGGTGGAGGTTTATAGAAAGGATCTTTAGGTAACATGATATCTGTTATCTTCTGTAGCAACTCATGGCTAGATCGAACCTTGTTCTTCTGCAAAAAAAAAATAATTTAACAATTAGTTTACTAAAACTTAAAACTGTAATCCACAATTAAATAAAATTTGTTTGTTTGTTAGATTGGGTTTCACGTCTACCCGACACAATATAGGTCATTTGGTGATATTCCAGCTTTACTGGTGGAGGAAGATCTCCGGTGCCCCTCTGTGAATTATTTCAGGCACAATCGGGGACCTGAGTAGAACCACTAACGTTTCGTAAGCTAGCTGGATAGCTTCCTCACATGAAAGAATCCAAAGTCCCTGTCAGGATTCGAACCCACAGCGGTGAGGGGCAAGTGGTTTGAAGTCAACGACCTAAACACTTCGGCCACAGACGCCCCAGAAAATAAAATGAATCAATAAATGTATACAAGCTCATGTTACTTACCCCGACTAATAATCTCATAAGCCCTGTTCCGCTACTTTTATTTTCCATACACAATGTTGTCTGATACTGCATGGCCTTCAGTAGAGTCTCAAGGCCTGTCTCACCTATCTCATTTCCTGTAATATTTTACATATTCAATTTCTGTGATCTATTGTTTTATTCTGATATGCTATGTCTGCCTATGTCACTAAATACTGTATCTAATTTAGGTACACAATGGAAATAATAGTTTATTTTAACTATTTATATTATTTTTAACAGTGCGGGCTCCATGTTTTATCAAAATCAATCAATCAATCATTCAAAATCAATCAATCATTCAATAACTTATAAAACGGTTATTTATTTGTTGCGTCTATTGTCAAAAAAGCCTTTTGGTGTCTAAAAGAAAATTTCAGACATTTAAGGCACAGAAAGACAATATTTGTGGAATCAGAATAAGACTAACATATGTTTATAATTGAGTGATTTGTTTAAAACAAAAGTATGCAGTCAGTAATGTGTATTTACAAATCAAAGTGTGCTTAATCAGCCATTACCATTATTTAATGATGTTACAATTATGCATTAATATGAAATAAAGTTGAATACATACGTGAGAGATTGAGGTTAATGAGAACCCTGTTACCAGCCACCCACAGTTGACCATCTATATAATCAGCACCTTCTAACAGTGGGTTTATAAAGTCAGGACTGTCTGCTGGCTGAAATATAAACAGTTATAATAATAAGACTGTTCTGTTAAAATACAAATTATGTTCAACTTTCATTTCTCAACTCGATGTTTGCCAAAATTTGTACGAAAATTAAAAAAGATGTTCATGAACAAGCAATGTTTAATATAGTATACAAATATCTACTGCTTGTTGTTAAATATTGTATTCCCAACCAAGGCATCATAGGGTACCTAATTACATGTATGTAATAACAAGAGGTGTCTGTTAGACAGTGGTGCTAGACTATTCTCAGTGCTTGACAGAAAGTAAAGGGACATAACTTTGTATAAAGGTAACTCAGAGTTGTGGGACCTGTGCACATCAAGTAAGATAATCATCTTGATAGAGAGCAAGTGTGTGAAGTTTCAACCTATTCCCTTCAGTACTTTTTAAGATATTAATTCACATGCAAAAACGTAACCGAAGTGGGATGGCGAATCCTACACCTCCCCAAACACCAAAGTGAGGAAAACAGCTCTTCGTTAACCTAAAAATGGATGCTTAAATGTATGTGATGTATAGAAAAGAATGACATACTGTCACTTTAGTGCAGTAACAGGTTCCCTCTAATTTTAAAAGAAGTCAACCAGTTATTGCACTAAGTTGATAACATAGTCACAACTGACATCAACTTACCTCAGTTTCTTGTGTTGGTTTTCCACCCTTTTCTTTACCTTTTGCCTTATTGCCTTTACCTTTAGCATCTGCGGCCAGGGAAGCTAGAAAGTGACAAAATAATACGATATTATATGTTTCCATAGTAACAAACTTGACCTGTGTAAAATACTGTATTTAATTTTAACGAAACTTTTTCCCCCATTTTCTTTACATTTTAACTTTAATATTCCAATAACAATAATAATCTTAATATTTATTCCTTATAGTAACTACTGACTAATTATTACCAATTAAAAAAGTGACAATAATTATGACAATATTTAAAATATTTAATATTTGAAATATTTTTGAAATATTTAATTAAAATAAATGCTTTAATATGAAAGATATATCTTTTATAAGCATTAACGAGAAATTTATTGTTTAAATAATCATATCATTGTTTAATTGTTACAATTGTAAAATATTTTATATTGATTGAAAGAGCTATTGAGTATTGACAGGAAAAAGGCTACATGACTTTATATCATTCATATAGATAATATACATGTATATTCACAAATAACATCTCTCTTTGGTACATGTGGTAATATCGCTTACTAAATAGAAAAATTATAATTGCTGATTAACAAGAAATAATTAAATTTTGAAGTTTGTTTATGCATTGATAAAAGACAAATATGTCCTGGAATAATTTGATAATAAAAGATAAGATAAATTTTGTATAAAGATCAGTTTTGCATATAAATTGTAAAAGTTGTAAAATTATGTTTTTTATAAGAAATATTTCAAAATAATAAATATTTATTGTACATTATACATTCTATAAATTATAATTATTATAAAGTTCTTATAATGAATATCTTAATTTTACAAATAAATTATGTGTAAATACACTTTATATTTTTCACTTTCAGTCACATTTTGATTTAAAACGAATAACTGCAAAAAGATGTACAAAAAAAGTTAATTAATTAAAAACAATTGAACGAAAATATTTTATGAACCATTGCTGACTTCTTTAATTTGACTAAAAATTAATAAATAATATCCAATTTAAACTGTCAATGATAAACAGAGATAAATTATAAATGCAAATTTGAACAATTTTAACCCTTCCCTCCCTTTATTTATGTAATAGACTCCTCCTGCTTTGAATTTGCAACTGTCCATTATGATACTCTAGGGAAGTTCAGTTCTAATGTCCATAACTTGACCCACGGTACACATTCTGTATATACTCTAGGGAAGTTCAGTTCTAATGTCCATAATCTGACCCACGGTACACATTCTGTATATACTCTAGGGAAGTTCAGTTCTAATGTCCATAATCTGACCCACGGTACACATTCTGTATATACTACATTTAATACTGGTATACAGTTAAAATAGCCTGGATTACCGTGGATCATACTCAAGTCAGATATCACAAGCCTAAATTCGAGGGCTGAACGGAAAAGTGTTGTAAGTCACATTTTTGTCAAAAATCACTTTTTTTCATTTTTGACAATCATTACCCCCAATACATCTGTACAAAAAATATTAGCAACATATTCTCATTATAAGTCACTTTTACATGATTGTTGCAAAAGTGTCGTAACTCTACAGTAATATTTCACTGAATGGAAAACTGTCGTAACTTGAGTTACATACAGTTTTCCATAATGAAGTTTAATATACATACTGTAAAATTGTAATGGAAAACTGTTGTAACTCAGACCATGTCTTTATCTTGTGCATTTAAAATGCAGGTTTACTATGAGAAATTGCTTAACATGAAAAAAGCATCATCTAAATTGTATTTATATACAATATTTCAATCATTGTCTGATAGCCATGGTTGTTTAACATGTATTCGAGGATGTACATGACTATTTCAATTAAAATCTTTGTTCTATTTCAAAAATACTAGAGAAATATGTTTTTTTACTTACTTGGTATGACAGGTTTGATGTTTTCATTGTTGATACAAACTGTGACATGATCAACATGATAATTGAACTATTAAGTTTTTCAAGAATTAAGTACTTGTATATCAAAAACAGGTATATCAAAAACAGACAGCAGCTTCCATAAAAATATGTTCAATGTTTTAACTATATTCAAACACATTAAAAACCAAATAAATATTTTTCAAATTTACATTTAATAACAGCTAGGAACCTTTGTAAGATATAACATAACAATGGAATTATTCATTTCAAGATTTAGCTGGCAGGGATGTATCATTTTATAAAGTTTAATTTTGAATCATTTACCACAGTAAAACATATAATTGTTACTGCGTAAGTCTAAACTATGGTACAAATTAAGTTTGGAATAAAACCTTTTATACATTTGAAAAGAGGGCTTAGGAGATAAGTTGCTGTTGTTGCCAAAACAAAAATAGGATCTTTGTCTCCAAGCTTTGATTATGCCTTAAAATATTTGAAATCAATTCAGATGGTAACTAGCAAGTTCCTAGGAAAGGGTCATACTCAAAATAATCAAATTAAGGATGACAAAAATTAATATGTTAAAGATTAATTTAAATCTATATCCTACAAAATGTTATGACTATCATATAAATTTATGAAACTCTCCTTTAAAAGTTGCTTTTTCAATATTTCTTATGCCAACATGAAGTTGCTTTTCAAGAAGTTGGTTTCCTTGTACATATTTTTGAGAAGCTATTTACTACAGTGGCATTAAACCATATTCTAACATAAAAACTGTGACACAGCAATACATTAAAGGGGAATAAAACACGCATTTTAAGGTATATGTGAGCATGCACTGTTATTGCACATTTATCAATATTCATGATTTAGAAAGCTATTTAAAAATGGATGACTGCAGTATGACCAAATGATGACCATGATATTTTTTTTAAATAAAAACAAAACTGTCAAAAGATATGACACACTCACATGGTAAAAGCCTTATAACATCAGTCTCTTTAATTTACAAAATAAATTATGACAAAACGTAAAACTACAAAGTCAAATACCTATAGTTTTAGCTCTATTGTTTCACATAAATAAGGATATTGTTGTTTTTGGGCATATGAAAGAAAATATAAAGATATAATTATAAGGAGGCAAATTACTGCCTTCCTAGTGAAACTGTACACATCCTCGATCACTGAAGGAGGTCAATGTGCAAGGCTCGTAACTAAAGCGTTGACTTTGACTGAATTATATGAAAGAAAAACATGGTTTGAGTTTTTTGTGTATGATCAATATCGTTGAAGGTATTCATTTGAAACTTGAAACATAACAATAGCAGTACTGGTGTCCAGTGCCATTTTGCAGCCATAAAAAGTTGCCCTGTTCCTCACTTCAGTGTTGTTATATTTTTCTGGTCCTTCGGGATCATAATGACTCTGACACTTTTAAGTGTTGAAAATTGACTACCACTCAAGCCGGTAATAGGGGGCTTGAGGGATGTTGCATGTTTTCACAATCCCTCATGTTAAGACTCAATCAAAAGTCTGCAATTTTAAAGTAATTTTCCTGGTTTTTAATGCTTCTGAGGGATTACCTTTTCTCCAGATATTTATATATCACAACAGCAGGTGTCAAGTGCCGTTTGGCAGAAATAAAAATTTGCCCTGTGCTCACTTAAGTGTTGTTATAGTAATATTTTTCTGGTCCCTCAAGATCATTGCTTCAGGCACTTTTAATTGCTTAAAATTGAGTACTGTTCAAGCCGGTGCTAGGGGGCATGAGGACTGTTGCACTTTTTCAATATCTCCCATGTAAAGACTCAATCAAACCGAGTCTGCAGTGTTCAAGTATTTTGCTGGTTTTAATGTTTCCAAGGGATTTCTTTTTTTCCAGATATTGAAAATGTGTCATCAGAATAATTGTAGTAGGTCAATGCCCTGGACAAATAACTAAAGCATGGATTTTGAATGAATGATACCCCTTTGTGAACTTACAATGTTTCTGTTTAAGTTTGTGTGTGTTCAAGCACAAAATGTATTCATTTCAATCTTCATGGAAATTTGTTCAGGATTATTATTGTAGGTCACTCACAGTCCAAAACAGGGCTTCCATTAATGAAAGTTTGGGAGTTATTTACTGCCTGATTTTGGCTTGTGACTTCCAAAATCTAATACTCTTCCTTCTTTACCTATATAATGTGACTTCCAATATAAGAGATTTTGTAGTGTCTGACTTCCAAATTTTGGAACTTAGTGGAAGCCCTGGTCCAAAACCTTGGCTCTAGTATGGATGGTAACTGAACATTACTGTTCCCCTCTGTGAAATGAGGACCTTTTAGGTTGAGGTTTTAAGTGCAGGTTCTCTATTCACAATAACTGAAGTTTTTGTTTGAACCTTCTCATGTCTTCTTTCAATTGGCAAGACCCATAACTCTAGCATGGATTTCTACTGAATTATAAGCCTTTCTTGATGAGAACATTTTTGCAGGGACCTTAATGTTTTGCTATCAAGCAGTGACAAATTCAAGGCAGCAGTGCAAGTGACAGTTAAAGAAAGGTTTTAAAGAACTTTTTCTTTCAAAATGGTATCGTCAAATCTTAAGATCTGTTTTCCATATTAATACCAAAATTTAAAACATTTGTGCAATATCTGCCTCTTTAACATGTGTTTATTATGACAAAGTACAGTTGGTATGATTATTCTAAGAATATGTTTAAGTGTAATAAGATTGTTAGAATTCATTAAAACCATACATACAATACAACAACAACATTTTATAGACCTAAGATGGGAATCAAATATATGAAGAAAATAAAATTATATTTGCTAAACTCACACTAATCTTTGTCCCCATTATTCTTTTTCTTAATTTAATAATGCCCAATTTTCAAATGTGTATTGAATAAAATGAATACATTAAGTTTTTGTCACATTAAATCATAAAAAGGTGTCACCATCAATTGTTGAGCAGTAAAAAAAATGGAAAACTGTACCTATCTCATGAGTTACGACACTTTTCCATTAACATCAGTATGGGTTTTCATTTATTTCAGACGTAAAACTGTCGTAAGTCAAAAGTTCATCAATATTATTATATATATACATTTTTTCTAGATATCAGGTATTAATTTAGTAAAATAAGAAGATTAAATGCCTATTTGTGACTTTAAAACTAACAAAACGTTTATCAGGTAGTAATACAATAATTTTTTGCTTCTCCTGTAAAATTGTGTAAATATGACTTACGACAGTTTTCCGTTCAGCCCTCGAATTGTGCAGTTATTTTTTTATTGAGTTTTAAGCCATACTGACATTGTAATTGTCATAGCAGCCTTAGTAGTGTCAAGAAAAATCTCAGGTGCCCAATTTGTGTATTATTACAGGTATGAGCAGGACAGGTAGAAATACCAACATCCAATAAATTGAGTCAATATGGCTTGAAATGAAACTTGACAAGCAAAAGCCTTTATTGTAAGGATACATTTACAGGCCACCTTCATCATTAACTTCGTGGAATCATAAAATTGAGGAGGTGTGCTTGATAAAATATTTACTGAAGACAAAGAAGTAATTCTTTTTGGAGATCTTAACTACAATTTTGGTGCTTCAGGCTCAAATAATTCAACATGGAACAATATAATCAATACTTTAATCTTTCTCAACTTATTAAACAACCTACTAGAGTTACACCAGCATCATCAACTATTATTGACCATATCTATAGTAAAAAACACAAAATAATCTCATACACTGCAGTACCTGTACTTTCAATTAGTGATCATTTTCCAATAATTTTTACTAGACGAACAAATAAAAATTTTAAAAAGGGTCCCAACGCATGATATATATCAAATACAG